GGCGCAAGACTAGGCCTCTTATGGATCATTTTGTCAGATTTTTTAAAGAGGTTATGGCATAGCAAAGCAGTGGCAAAGTATCGTGGCGCTGGCTGGTATCGTGGTACTGACAGGAAATTTCTGCCAGGGATTAATTTTTTTCGAAGAGGACCTTCAATAAAAATATTTTTGAAAAAGAACTAAAACTGCTACTACATGAGTTAGAATAATAAAATATACGTATCACACTGTTACAAATTTCATGAAAATTAATATACACAATTTTTAATTTACACAATTTGAACTTAATTTCATAATATTACATTAAATTTAATATATTTATAACTGAAAAGTGTATTTGTGTACATGTACACGAAATTTAATGTATTTTTCATGAAAATTTATGAAATTTGATGTACACGTTCATTACATTTAAGTAACTACTGTAACTTAATTTTCAGTTAAATCATTCATTAGAGGAGAAGGTGATATTCCCAGATAGCAACATGTCTGTCTTGTTGCTGGCATGTTGCTTGCTAAGTGTGCATTGCTAAGTATGTATTGCTACCAGAATTGCAGCAACTGAGTCCTCATTTGTTGGCAACTTGATGCCTTCACGATATGGCAACATTGAGTAGCAATTGTCATAAATTTGCCTACAACTTTAAAATCGTCATAATCAAAATTCGTACTATTGCCATCATGTTGCCATAATAATATGCAGCATCATACAATGCTGTCATATTGCCAACAACGCAAGATAACATTGATGCAACTACGTTGCTGTTAAACTGCTGGTAGTACATATACACATTGTTGTCTGCATGTTGCTACAATGTCGGTATATTCGAAATCATTGAAGACAAATCTACTGCAAATTACCAGCATCATAAGCAATCACAGATTTGTGCGATTTTGTTGAGACACGCTCTACTATCAGGGATGGCATTCCAGTTACATAATTACTTTGTCAATAATCAATATTTAAGTTTAAAACTTGACAATTACATTCATTAAAATGTTATTGAATCGATTCTGGATTCAAAGTTATGAAATATTTATTACTTAGGATACTATTATAATAAAAATATGGCGACATTGCATAACGACTCTAAGAAAAAAATGGGCTGTAACGTGGCTTTCCACAAAAATGGCTTTGAAATATTAATTTTGTTTAGACAACTGTATTTGATTACAAAATTAACAAAAAAGAAAAACATTTTAAAATGTACACAAAGGAATGTATATACATTCACATAACTTCTGCAAATAAGCTGCTCAGCACTACTAAAAATAGTACACGTAATATAAACTATAGATTAACGGTAGTGTTATAATCGATTATTAAATAATTATTTTGATATGAAAACCTCAAAAAAGAGATCGTGAGTAATCAATATCCATAGAAGGCCACATAGCAAAATGCCATGGGATTGTTTAAATTTGTATAACTCAAATATGGTCAAATAAAATGTTAAATATAATAGCACACTCAAAAATACATATATTCGTGTGATAATATGCTCAAGTTTAAGAAAAATGAGGAAGTAGGTGTAATTAAATGCTAAAGTGTACTTCAGAAACGTTTTGAAATACTTGAAAGTAAAAATGCGTTATAATAAGTGCTGGTTATTGAGTATTGGTAATATTAGCGTCATGGTGTAACGGCGAGCTACTAAACTGATAATTCCATAAGTAATCCTTAAGATTCGCTATATAATAGTGGAGATACTAAGGGAGGCCACATATACACTGGCCATAATACTACCTTCTCCTCTACTTTTAATTTCGTTCATAACCACGAGCTTCATTTACATGTAAAGGAAGCTCGTGATCACATTTCTAACAGTGTAGGTTCTATTCGAGAAGCATGTATATGCTCAACGCCTTTTTTACCTTTTTTAAAAAGGTAATCTTTTACAGATACGAATGATCAAATTTTGTAACTACTACTTTGGTTGGAAATGAAAATGTCTTTGAATGAATTGCAACATAAACATTTCATATAAGAAGAATTAAAGTCATTTGGATCGGAATAGGAAGATCCTTCAATATGAATACAAAGATCAATCAAATCGTCTCAACTAGAATGACGCGTAATAGCTAATACAATTTAATACGATTTGATTGGCTAACGCAAGTTACAATTTAGAAATCCTAATGCTGGAGTGAGGCGTATTTGCCGCGTAATCGCATAACCAATCAGAAGCAATTCGCTGCTGTGGTTTCGTGTCTTACCGAACACCTAGACACTTCATTCCTCGACGGCGAACATCTAGACACCCACTTCCTAGACTGCGAGCACCTAGATACCCATTTCCTCGACGGCGAACATGTAGAAAACACCTAGACACGCACTTCCTCAACGGCGAACACCTAGACACTCATTTCCTCGCCTGCGAACACCTAGACACCCACTTCCTCGACGATGAACATGTAAACAACACTTAGACACTTATTTTCTCGATGATAAACACCTAGACACCCACTTTCTCGACGGCGAACATCTAGACATTTAGTTTCTCGATGGCGAACGCCTATTATCATTTCCTAGTTTTGTTAGCCATTACCAATGTGTTTCATTATTACCGACTTTACCGATCCTGTTGTTTTGAAAAAACGACGGAGGCACTATCATAGTACGTAGTATAGTACAAATCGCAGTGCTCGCTGATCATGTATGTCACTAGCGCTCCTTGCGTAAAAAATGTCAGAAGGACACGAAAAGAATGCGCGGAATGCGATCGACGACGACAATGACGTATCTGAATGTGAAAAGTTACAGAAACGTGAAAAGAGAACGTGAAAGGTTATCCGAACTTTGCGTTGCAATATCTCCGCTTATAGGGTACGTAGAGAAAAAATAAAAGCACGTATAATACAATCGGTATGTAAGCTATCGGTTAAGTGTACTTAAATATATATATGGTAATATTGATATTAACCTATTGTTATTGACTTTGGCACGTACTGAAAGTATAACATCGATATTATTGAGATTACGTGGAAATTATTTAGAAGCTGATATCGATTTTGAATATTTTGTGTATAATCGCTACTTTATTATTTTCGGTGCTATTAAGTTGTGACTGTGTAGCAGTTACAAATTGTAATGTAATCATTGGTATGTTTGTTCCATTGATATCTATAAAATCATGAATTTCAAGTTCTTTTTTGCTAAAGTAAGCTAAGTTCTTTATTAAACGTAAATAAATTATCATCACAAAATTGTTAATATTCATTATTAGTTTGAAAGTAATAATTATAAAACTATTGCAGGAGGGACAAGACGTGTCTTCTTCGTTACTTTTTATTTCATCCTTAAAAACAGAAGAGCGATCGAGTACGATTGATTCAAAATCTGAAACAAAATTTGGAGAAAATGTTAGAAATATGAAACATAATATTGATATTGTGCATGAAAAATAAGAAGTTTTATAAAATTTTACCATCATAAATGATGGCAAGGAGAGATTGAAATTTTCAAATGTCGCAATTTTACAGCATTCTAAGTTATTAGCCATAATTATCAAGATGAATATACGTTTTATCGATATAAATACCAGTCGAAGTAAATACCAGTTTTCGTGAAATGCCTTATATGTTACCTTTGCACTCTATTATACATTTTCCACAGCGGAATAATATATAAAAAAGGAATAATTATTGATACATATAATATAAAACACAATTTATAATTCACAATTTATAAAGCTATAACGTTTAGTTTTCTGAAAATCTTCATTGTTACTATCCCTACGATATTTATATACCAAAACAGTCTAATAATTATGTCAAAAAAAAATAAATTTCACAATGATCTAAAAGTTCTTCAATTTTACAGCAATTGAATTAAAAACGAAATAATGTAAACAATAAATTATAATAAAATTTACCGCGTCTAATAATTGTTGCACACAGGAGCACAAAATATATAGTTGCACTATCGCCCCTAATGCCCGTCGGGTTGGGCTACCCATCGGACGCGTTTCCAGGTGGCGGATAGGAGGACGTCCGGAGGGGTGCCCGATCTCCCGGGTGTGAAACCCCGCGTGTGACTGGAGGTCCCTCCGGATAGTGGTGGTTATAAACGGACCCCCCACGTGTAAAACCCTGTGTGGGGCCGGGAAGGCCGTCGCCGTGGACCAGCCCCCCAAGCCAAGCTGTGAGCTATCGAGGTGAGGGCTGCGTGGTACTGGAGGAGTAATGCAGTGGTCGATGCCTCTGAGGCACTGGGCGAAACCTCAGAGTATTTAGCCTTACCCACGCATGCGGGGCTTTGCGTGAGCGGACTTTGTCGTTCCCTAGCTATTCGTGGGACTTGTATGGAGAGTAAAAATCAAAACATTCAAGACGAGATAACCGAGGGCCCAAAAGGGCACTCGGCGGAGGCGGCAGCAACCGCGCCGCAAGTACGGGCTCGGGAGGGCTCGGAAAACGAGCTGGTAGCTGCGGAAGTAGAGATGGCTCCCGTTTCGAAACAGGCACTCCCGGGCTCGAAAAGAAACGGAAGTAAGGCGGGTGATGCAGGGGCTCTTCACAAGAGGAACCGCAGCGGAGCCCAGAAGAGAAGGGCGAAGAGGAACAGGGAGAAGGCTCTCGAAAGGCAGGCTCCATGTCCCTCGACGGCCCTTACAAAACCGGTGAAGAGGGATACAGGGCTCACCGGTAAAAAGCGCCGCGCGGGCTCTGACCAAACTTCCCCATCGGTTAAGAGGACGGTGAAGAGGCCTAGGGCTCAGGCAACTGGGACCTTTGCGACCGTGGCTGATCCGTTGGCAAAGACGGTTGTTCTGGAGGGGTACCCTGAGAAGGAGATCACCACGGAGCAGCTGACCTTGTTTCGGGGAGCGGTCCTGGCGGAGATGGAGGGAATCCAAGAAGGTCTCCTGCCCAGATACGTGGGATCGGCTACCCTCAAGAACGGGGCAGTCATAATTAGAGGTGAGGACGCAGCATCCCTTAGTTGGCTAGAAGGCTGAGTGGGGGGCAGCGTGCCTTGGGAGGGCGCCAGGCTCAAAATGGTGGGCTTGGACGAGCTTCAGAAGCAGCAGAGGGCGGTGATCTGGGTTTCGAGTCCTCCGAGAGCCGCGGCTGCTGTCCTGGCGCTACTGGAGAGGCAGAATCCGGGCATCGGCGCACTGAACTGGCGCGTCTTTGCCGAAAACATAGATGCTTCCCCTGACCAAGGGCGTTTGCCCGAGATATGTTCTAGGAACCTGACAGCGGTGGAGGTGACGACAGCTAGCAGTGCTGGGGGCACCAGAACGCTGGTCATCTGCTCGGCCTACTTTCCGCATGGAGAGGAGACACCGCCGACGGAGCTGGTGGATCTCTGCCAGAAGGAAGGACTGCCACTGGTAGTGGGGTGCGATGCTAATGCGTACCACACCATATGGGGAAGTACCGATACGAACGAAAGGGGAAGGAAGTTGCTGGAGTATCTGGTAACGACTGACCTGGAGGTTCTGAATAAAGGTAACGAATCCACCTTCTGTGCGGCGGGGAGGAGTGAGGTATTAGACCTCATTCTCTGCTCACGCGGGTCTGTGCGGAAGGTGAGGGAATGGAAGGTGTCGGATGAGCCATCGCTCTCCGACCACAGGCTAATATCTTTCAGACTTTCAGATCTCAAAGTGGAAGCCAGGAAGGTGAGGAACCCAAAGAGGACAGACTGGGACTCCTATCAGAGGGACCTGGAAAGGAACCTCATGGATTTCCCCAGAAAGCACGGGACGGCGAGGGAGCTGGAGCTCTGCGTGGATCATCTGCAAAGGGCTCTGATTGGCTCCTATGAGGCGAACTGTCCGGCTAGGACAATCATCAACAACAGGGGAACCCCCTGGTGGAATCCACCGCTGCAGAGTCTCAAGATCAAGGCTCGAAGAGCCTGGAACAGGGCGAGGAACACAGGCCAACCCTCCGACTGGGATCTTTACAGGAAAACTCAGGAGTATAGAGACTCTGTGGTAGAAGCAAAGAAAAAGAGCTGGCGGGATTTCTGCGAGTCGGTGGACGGAATACCGGCCACTGCCAGGCTATGCAGATTTCTGACCAGGAACCCAGACGCTGCGTTGGAGGCAGTTCAAATGTCAGACGGTACCATGGTATCCGGAGAAAGATGCCTGGAGCACCTTCTGATGGCCAGCTTTCCTGGTTTCCGGAGGAATGAACATAGGTGCGAGGAGGTTGGCGCGGGCTCCTTCAGGGCATGTGCCAACGATTGGAAATTAGCGGCAGAGATAGTGAGGCTGTGACCGGCCTGAGTGTGTTAATACGTTCAATTTGCTTACTACTTGTTGTATATTCTTCAAAGAATACGGTCGCCACTTCGTTTGACCACCAACGAAGAAGGAAGAGCCGTTCCGTCGCCAATGGTGGATGTTTTCTGCGATGTAGCGTCTGGGATCCTCTCTCACCCTGTTGGAACTTTGGCTGGAATTTCCGCAATGAATCGATACACTCGCACGAATTATAATAATGTTGTTTAATGAATAAAGCAATTGTACATCGTTTTCGCGCACTCGGA